TGTACACATAACTGAGGAATTTTTATGTGATTTATTGGGCAGGGGAGAATTGCTGGAGATTTTTATCATATTTTAATTATAATGTGGCCTATATAGAATATAAGCCTGGAATTCCATATGATGTGTGGAAATAATGAGGTTTTCTGACCACATAGGTGAAAGAAGATACAGGCTAGGACAAAGAAAGAGGCCCTAGTTGCAAAGGGTCTTAGAGATCGGAGTCAAGGCATATTATTTTCATGTTAATATCAAGGTTGGGTGACCAATCAAACTTTAGAAGTGTCTATGCTGGGTTTCAATTTTGGATGCTTATGTTAAAGAGAAGAAAATGAGCACAGTCTGGAAACAGTTGTGTTTGAGATGTCTGCAGAGATTCCCAATAATTACTTGGCAACAGATTCCAGAGTTCAGGAGAGACGTTGGAGATGAAGATATAAATCTGAGTCATGAGCATTGTAGGGGACATAGAACTGCTTCCAGGAATCAATTTCATCTTTTCAGAAGTAAAAAGAAGACGATCCCATAACTTTTAGTAACATACGTTCTACCAGGAAATTGCAAGTTTTTCCTTCCCTTATAAAAATTTATGTTCAAGTTTGAATCAAATTTATTTTCATTGTTTTGAAAGTGTTTAATGGTCATCACCTTCTTTGTTAATGAAAGCATTTCAAGAACAGATAGGAATGGACTTTCTAATTATGTCATTATTCTTTGAGACAGAAGGTTTTTATTACTAAGGTTCTAAAAGAATACCTCAAAAAAAAAGAATACCTCAAGATGATTAAATGTTGAATGTAGTAATAATTCTACACTTGGTGTCTTATTTTTACGGTATTCTTGCTACAAAAACTTCCATGCATTCTTTCATTTAGTTGGCTAGTTTTTATTAGGTGTCTACTGTATCCCAAGCCCTGCAGGGGCTAGGGGTGGAGGGAGAGTATGTTGGATATTTGAGTGTTTAAGTGTTTAAGAAAAGTATTTCCAGCAACTACTGAAAGTAAGTTTCTTCCGATATCTCCAAGAATATTGAAAAAAAAAAATAACAAAACTCCTGTGCAAGGAGAAATGGTTAAGGGATAGTTGTCAACAAATATAAAGCACCTTCTTTTAGAAACGAAACCGAGCGGAAATGCTAAAAAAAGAAAAAACAGTGTTAACACTTCTTAGGAATTTTGTGTAAAAGCGGGAGTGAGAAACTTGAATATTTTATATGGGTTGGGGCTACTTTTAAAAAAATTTTAAACTAAATAACCATAAAAATAGATACTGCTTCCATGGTAACATAAGAGAATAACAATAAAGCACAGGGAAGGTAGCTCTGAGAATAAAATCCTAAAATCTGTTCTTTTCTAAAGTAAGTAAAAAATGTAAACATGTCCCTAATTAGGGACTAACTAGAATTAATCATCCAAGAAATATTGATTTCCATCAAAGTATAAATCATAATAGGGTTTTTGTGATGGTTTAATTATTTCAAAATATACATTAAAACAACAGGAGAAAAAAAAAAAAAACAGGAGAGGCAGTTCATTTTATTAAGCTTAACAAGACCATAGAAGTGCTGTGCATTTACCTTGCCTCTGGCATTAGCCACTGAAACTTTTATTTTCTTAGAGAGAAAAGAGAAACAATTGAGAATAGAAACTGAAATACATAAAGAGAATAATTAATGTCAATAGACCAATATATGTACTGAGTGTCTAGTATATGCCGGGCTAGTGTTAGTTATTATATAAATTTTACTAATCTTCAGAGGAAAAAAATTTGGGTGAAAGTCTTTTACCCATTTTATAAATAAAATAGTAAAGCTAAAAAATATTAAGTAATTTGCCATAAATGACCCAATTAATCAGGTCAGAGCAATGCTCTAAAATGATACTCTTTTGGGGTGCCTGGGTGACTCAGTCGTTAAGTGTCTGCCTTTGGCTCAGGTCATGATCCCAGGGTCCTGGGATGGAGCCCCCGCATTGGGTTCGCTGCTCAGCGGGAAGCCTGCTTCTCCCTCTCCGTCTCCCTCTGCTACTCCACCTGCTCATGTTCTCTCCCCGCACCGTCTCTCTCTTAAATAAATAAATAAATAAATAATAACTAAATAAATAAAATCTTTAAAAAAATAAAATAAAATGATACTTTTATTCTCAATAGTTCAATTTTCTCCATTTTTATTTGTTTAATTATGAAAGTAATACATATATATAGAAAAATGTGGGGTAAAAAGTAAAGTTTCCCTCTCTAACTCATTCTTCTCACCAGAGGTAATTATATTCCAGATAGATTGCTATGCATTTCTAACAGATTATATTGCATCTATATAAATACAGATATTATACTTTATAGAGAAAAATGTTCACATATATTTTTCATAAATGAAGTCATTCAAAGTAAGTTATATTCTGGATTTTTTCCCTCCTTTTCAATTTTCCACGACAATGCATATAGACCTCTTTCACTCACTTTGGTGGCTATGGAGTATTCTGTACTATGGATGCACCACAATTTATTTAAACATTCCTGTCTTGGTAAATATTGAGTTGTGTCCATTGTATTTGTTATAGCAAAAAGGGCTCCTGTAAACTTTCTTCTATGCATATCTGTAGACATGAATAACTATTCATGTAGGTTGAAGAAAATTCGTTTTAATTTCTACTTTGTCATTAAGTTGACAATGTAGAAACATTAGAATATATGTAGGTGTGGGTTTTTACTTATTGTTTGTTCACCTTATTTATGAATCCCTAAGATTGGTGTCTTTATATACTTTTGGTTACTATGACAATAACAGCATTCTATGGCAATGTCTACATAGTACTAAGGTATAAGTCTATTGTTCTGACCATGAATTCTTTCATCTATTTACTTGACTATTAGTTATTAGTTACCTACCACATCCCAGGCCTTCAGCCAAGTACTAAGTGAAGAGAAGAATAAGACATAGTCCTGGCCAACAAGAAGGTTATGGTAGAGTGGGATAGCTTGTTTCTGGGTATTTGAACACTTGTAAATGAGTGATATCATTTTTAACATTAATGATCCAGGTGTTTTGTTTCATTTAGACAAACACAGGTATATGACTGGTTATCTTTTTTAATATTAACTATGGCAACTTAAAAAAATCAATGAGGATAATTCATCTAGGTTATCTTCCTTTTCATTTCCTATCTTCATTTTCATCTGCATTAGAATTGGAATGATGTCATAAATAATGTGTTTTTTTGGAATTCTGTAGGTCTTCATGGTACAGATGATTAGTTGACTTTTTCATCAGCTGGTGAAACACATTATGGAGACAGTTCTACATGTCCACCCAGTATTCATGGTAAATAAACTGTGAGGACATTTACACATGTAAGTGTAGTAAAATGTTCCGTGTTTTTGTGCTAGAGGTATTCAAGTAACATATTTCTGGCCAAAGAGACTTACAAGGGGGAGTGTAAAAAGCCTTTAGGTAGTCTTGTTTTTCCTAGTAAAAGGACAGTTATGGCTACTGCAGCTCTTCTCTACCCCAACTTCTTCCTGCCTTGAATGTGGATATGATGTCTGGAGTTTAAGCAGCCCTCATGTGACCAGTTGATGATAAAAGTTAATTTTAAGGATTGAAGAATGCAAAGTTAGAAAGTTTTTGATTTCTTGACAAAGTCACTGAAGACCTGAACAAATGTCAAGAGTTGATCACCTTCAGATTTCTTACTTCCATTTGTGAAAAAATTAAACCCTGAACATTTAGTCCGCTAACAGTTAAGCTGTTTGCCATTTCCAGCTGAATTCATTGGGATTCCATTGGTTTTGGTAGTAGAGGCCTCTCACATTCATTGTGAATCAATATAAAAGCTGGACCATTTCTGAATGCTCTGCCATTGTTCTGTCTGTATTGTTTTTCCTGTTATTTTCTTTCATAAAGTTATTTTTCCATGCTATAACCTAGAAACTTTGATTTAAATTTTTCTGGTTAAGTTGAAATTTTGGAACTCTAATTAGGATTTTAATAAATTTTTTTAAGAAGAAAATTTCATTTTTGAATGTTCTCCATTGAATCTCACAGGTCCTATTTGAAATATGGTGTCAAAACTCAACAGGGCTATTGCTTTTTCCCTGTAGATTCTTGACACATTCGGCTGCATTACCAACATAACCATGATGTTGTGCTGCATAGAATAACTTTTACTTCCTAATTTCACTATAATGCACTAGATAAAGAACTCACTGGTGTGTTTCTCCTCGATTTTTGTGGACACCTTGTCAACAGAGGATTAGCTACCTCAAACTGAGTTCCTACAAATTCCAAATTCTGCCTCTCAAAATGGCCATGACAGCAGGGCTGCTCCACCTGAAAACTCACAGCTAAGCAGCTTCCACATGGTCCACCTTGCAGAATCACTGTCCAGTATTTAAAGAGAGTACAAGGATCCTCGTTATAGTCTGACAGGTCTCTGATAATTGGACTGCAACACACAAAAAAGCTGTCCTAGACTTGTAGTCAGCCATCGGTTTTGTTTAAAGACTTCATTTTTACCTGGTTCAAAGGGCATCTTCAGATAGCCAGAGCACAAGTGTAACAGATGTGCTTACCATGCATTTTAAAGTTTACTGAACCTCAGAAATTCATAGAAAACATGATATACATAAACACAAAAGAAATTTAGAATCACCATTGGGAAAACATCATGGTTGTTGAGGGATTACTTTATACTAGTCAGTTAAAAGAATAAAGTGTAGTGTTCATTTGCTCATACACGGTAAAATGAGACAGGTCTAAAATATTTGTCTATCTTCATTAATTGGGCTCGTTGAAAGTGTTGCCCTATTTATTAAATTCTGTAGTGCTTTTTTAAGATACTTGGGGTAACAAAATAGCCAAATTAGTTCTTGATTTGAATGCCCATTAATTCCCTAAGTTAAGACTTTATTGTTATTGGCATGTGAGTCATGGTTTACTGTGATAGTTTTCACAGCAATATTTTCCCCCCAAAGATGAAGTTGATTAAAAAAAAGAGAGAGTTTACCTGATTTCCTCCCATACCATGACAGTTGAATATACCCACTTTTTCATTTTCCTTGCGGCCCATGTTGTCTAAACATTGGTTGGTTTCAACATTTCTTATCTAAAGGAAACACACAAAAACAGAAGTCAGATAGTGATGTAAGTCAGAAAATCTTCCTGCTGTTACCAAATTGTATATTGATAATGAGAGGATACATGTTTGCAAGGATATTTCTCCAAGAAGAACGCATTGTTTTAAATATTGATTTTTCTTTTTCTATGTCTGTTCTTAATTTTGTGTAAATTTCTATCTCCTACTGTAGTAAACTTGAACAGCAATGGCATTGTCATTAGCATCTAATCAAGAGGCACTCGTTTATAGCATAGTATCAGAGAAAGAGGAAACATTACAAATTAGTCATTCTTCCCAAAATCCTTTTAAAAGTAGGACAGTTGCCAAATTCCACTCAAAAAACCATAATCTATTCTTGAACTCCTGTGGTACCATATGCAAAGGAATAGAAACAAATTGGTTAAATATTCAAATTTATGTGTTTTTAGATAGCTTTATTACTAGATGTTCCATCCTATGTTGATGGAAGTTTAATTATTGTTTATTTCTGTAACTAAAACATATTCATACATCTTTTTCTTCATCCCTAATGCCAAACTTAATGGAAAAGAGTTGACCTTAGCTAAGAAAAGCTATTACAAGACTAAATGGTGATTTCACATTAAAAATGCCTTAAAAACAAGATTAAATTGCCAACTGAAAACATAGGATTCTTGGTTTACACTCAAGTACTGCATTAGCTCCATAATTAACATAATGTTATGTATTTGAGACACATGTAATTACAAAAGCCATTCACTGAGTTTAAAGATGCTAAAATTACTAAATCAAGCACAAATGAATAATAAAAATGGCATTTCTAATAAATGGACTGTTTTTAATTTCTTCCCTTAGTTGAAACCCCAAGTATGTATTTATTTGTCCACTCTGCTTCTGAAAAGTTCTTATCTCTGACTTTTATTAGAACATGCATATTTTACTGTTCACTCATACATTACTTGCATATATCTATCTAGTTATCTATGCTTTAAGCACATATTTCTTCATATTGGCAAATGAATAAGATCAAAAACTTCTAAAGAGGATAGATTAGGTTTATATGAATCACTTTTTGTATGATGCAGAACCCAAAAGTCAAGTAATGGCTCCTGGCATTGGGAAAAGTGGTGTGATTTGCATTAAGGCCCCAGTCAGCAATTGAGATGAGTAGGGACTGGAATTCATACTCTGCAAGGGTTGGAAAGAGCTGAGCAGTCAAGCCCTGTTCCAATGCCTTGAGATTGAGAGCAGGATTATAGATGCTTTCATAGAGAAATCTGAGCTGCAACCCATTAGAAAGGACAGAACACATAATGAATATCAAAGAAGAGGGGTGCCTGAGTGGCTCAGTAGGTTAAGTTTCAGATTCTTGGTTCCAGCTCAGGTCCTGGACGGAGCCCCGTGTCCTACTCAGCAAGGAGTGTGCTTCCCCTCTCCCCTTCCCTCTGACTGCCTCCCCAACTTGTGCATTCTTCTCTTGCTCAATTTCTAAAATAAATAAATATTTAAAAAAATAAAGAGAAAAGATACAAGCTTCAAGAAGAAAAATCATGTTCAAATTCCATACTGGTAGGTTTAGGTTATCTGATGTAGGTGGATTATTCAGGCACTGGAGGATACTGAGCCTATATGCAAAGGTTAAAGGTTTTTCGGAACCTGTAGCTAGGACAGGATTGAGAAAGGTAACAATTGATAGATGATGTAGTATATCAGTCTGTTTATGTTTTACATAATCTAATCAACATGTAACATGCAAGTTTATTTTTAAGTCCTTTATATCAACTTTTCTTGCTAACATTTAATAAAAGGCAAACTTCTTGAAAAATAATAAAATGGTGTATTGTTATTTATTATCCTAAAAAAGTATGGGATGGTATAATACTATAATACTTTGGGGAATAAATATCTCACAAAATGATTAATTCACCTTTACATGTAAGCTGTGCAATCTGATTCAAAGGCCTCTGCTAGATTCATGGTACTTGAACAGATACTAGTTAATAATTACAGGGGCTACAGTCCAAGTCATTTATAAAATTTTGAATCTTCGGTGGATGACAGAAGATTCAAAGCCATATTCAGGCCAGTACATACTCTTACAGAAGCATTTTAAAGGGACATATGATAGATTCATATCATCCTACTTTTTGACAAATTAAGCACAGAACTCAAGAATGCTTCCCAAGTATTTTGTCCCCAGTAACAACTTATTATTGATCTATTTTTTATAATGGATACACTTGGTCTGTAACCTATCTTATGAATGCACACATTCACTCAACAAATATTACTGAGAGGAGGTATACTTCATGCTAGACACCATTTAAGGTGCTGAGGATACTGAAGTGAACAGAGTAAACCTAGTCCATTCCACCATGGAGCTTATATTTTAGAAGAGAAGAGTGCAATACACAAATACATTCTAATACGTTGGAAGATCAAGAACTTCTGTAAAGAACTATAAAGCATAGTAAGGGTAGACAAAGTGATGGAAGGAGTACTATCCTATTTCAGATAGCAGATTAGGAAAGGCCATTCAGAGAAAATGATACTTAAAAAGATACCTTGTAAAGTGAGAGAGCAGCCAAATTTCCATGTGTATGGAAGGGCGTTCCAGAGAGGGGGAATAGCCAATGGGTGCTCTCTGCAGCTGAGAAAACTGATTGAAATAACAAGCTAGCAATGCGGCCAGGGTGCAGTGAACAAGGGGCAGAGGAGAGAGGTATCTAAGACTAAATCATGTAGGAAATCATAATTTCTAAGCATGAGGATGACCTATTAATAGCTTACTCTGGCTGCTGTGCGGAGAACAGATTAGAAGGAGGCAGGAATGGAAGCAGAGAAACACTTAGGGGACTCTTGCAGTCATGCCAGCTAGAGATGGTAACAACAGAGGTGGATAGGTCAAATGTGGGATTTTTTTCTTTAAGATGTATTTATTTATTTATTTATTTATTTATTTATTTATTTAATATAGAGAGAGACAGCACAAGTGCTTGTGGGAGGAGGGGCAGAAAGGGAGGGGGGTGCAGAAGAAAGAATCCCAAGTAGATATTGGGACCTGATCTGAGGACCCTAAGATCATGACCTGAGCCAAAACCAAGAGTTTGATGCTCAGCCAACTGAGCCACCCAGATGTCCCAAATTTGTGATTTTTTAAGGTAGAACCAAGTAAGACTAGCAATTGAATTGGATATGAGCTATGAGAGGAAAAAAAAGACATCAAGAAGCATTCCAAAGTTTTGCTTGAGCAAATGTACAAATGATGTTTCCATTTACTGGGAACAATATTCTGAGTTCCTACATGTTGATAAATATATCTGTGGCCTTTATATTTGAAAATCAATTTGGCATATCTGAAGTCCTTGGCTCACAATCTATTTCCTTGAGTATCTTTAAAATGTTATGCTATTTACTTCCAGCATGAATAGTTGCTTTTGAAAAGTCTGATGATAATCTGGTTTTCTTTACCTTACTCTTTTTTACAAATGTCTATTTGCCTGAATGCCAAACTGATTTTTTTCTTTTTTATTTAAAAGTTCAATAGATTTACCACAATGAATCTTAATAATGTTCATTTTGGATCACTCTTCCAGATGTATAGCGTTCCTTTTCAATATGTCATTTCAATTTTACTTTCAGGCACATTTTCTTAAATTATAAGTATTAATGTTCATTTTGTTTTATTGCTTTGATTTTTCCCACCAGTAAATCCTATTATTTTGGATCTTGTTGCTTATCTCTCTATATGTCACCTTCTATTAAAAGTGGGATTATTGGGGTTTTGGAATTACTGATTCACGTGATATTTCAAATTTAGCCTTTGTTTCTAAATGAATTCATTCTTTAATTTCTAAATCTTTACTGCATTTCCGGCCCTTATTTCAGAGGTATTTCTAAATTTGATTTATAGTGTTCTTTTCTACATTTTATCATTATACAATTTCTTTTAGCTTGCTTTGAAATATTAGGTTACACTTTTCCCGTCTATGAGCATAAAGCTTTGGTGTCCTTGCATCGTTTGTAGAGAGATCATTCTCCTCCTTATTCTCTTTATTCTTACTGTGGCCATCCTCTTCTGCCATTGCTGCTGTTCTTATTGCATGAGGCCAATTCTCCTGATCTTTTAAGAGACAGGGTTTGATCAGGAGACCATTTCTTTCTTTTCTTTTTTGGGAATCATCTGGCATCTTTAAACTTATCCTGTTGCCCGGTTCCCAAGTCCACACATTCCCATTTAGTTGGTAGAGGGTGTAAGTTGGCCATCGGGGTTTTAAATTCTTCCCCAGGTATTTCTTTTTTTTTTTTTTAAGATTTTAATTTTTTGAGAGAGTGAGAGCACAAGCAGGGGGACGGGGAGTGGCAGAGGGAGAAGCAGGCTCCCCACTGAACAGGGAGCCTGATGCGGGGCCCGATCCCTTGACCTTGGAATCATGACCTGAGCTGAAGGCAGATGCCTAACCAACTGAGCCACCCAGGCGCCCCTCCCCAGGTAATTCTAATGTGCAGCAAATTTAGCAACTAACATTCTGGAGGGAGGTAGGCAGTGTCTTGATGTTAAATGGTGACATTACAATTACAATTCCTTTTCCTTTTTAAAGTACTTCTTTTTCAGTGGTTCCCACTTGGGAAGCTTTTAGAATATACTTCTGCTTGGCCTCACCCTCATAAATTATGATACAAATGGTCTGGAGTAGGACCAGGAGACAGCTTAAAGCTCTGCAAATGATTTGGGTGTATATTCAGGGTTGAAACCTCCTGTATCAAGAGAACAGATGGAGTACTTGCTAGCTGCAGGCTTAGCTATTTTGTGAATCAGTCTGAAAATTCTGGATACTGGTGGAAAGAGAAGGAGGTTTTCATAGTAAAGCTGATTCCTTCAGTACCCAGTGGGGAAGTTGAAGAGCAAAGGTTTCCAGCTGTCCCTGACAGGGAAGGTTTACACAGGAGACCATTTCTAACTTTACAAGTCTAGCTCTCCTGTTCCTGCACTTTTCTGAAGAGTTTAA